TTTCACTGAGTCAGGTTTCTGTGTCACAATCAGTTTTCAATAAGAAATCCTTATATCTATCAGTCTCAGCAGACTTGTTACCACATCCACTGCCAGGATGTTGTCAAATGGCTTGTCTACCATATCCCTCAGGGAGCCTTATGTTTGGAACAAGGAACTTTTCTCTCATGTTCTTGGTTCTACATGGGGAAAGCTTCAAAGTGTAATGCACCCCACATCTCTTTGCTGTTCCCCAATGAGGGGAAGTGAATTAATATGTCTGGTGATTTGGGAAGAATGGGGTAAGGTACTTCATTCCCTTCCTCTCTTTTTGTTTAGGGAGTCTGTCCTTACAACTGCCCCCCTCTGCCATTCTGGAGGATGAGTGGTAAAGGGGCAGACCCTGTCTCCATTTGAGGTTACTGCAGGGAGTGGCTGAGGGTCTATCTAATTCTGGGTGCAGTATTTAAGCACCTAGTTTACAGATGTTAAGTCACATCTTTAAAATTTAGCTTTATCAATAATAATCTTGCCATATTAGTTTCACTGGCTCACTCCCTTATTCCTTTCCTCTAATTTCTCAGTTGATAGAAAACGTGGGTAGGGAAGTGAGCAGTTGTTTATCAACCTTCTTCAACACCTACCCTCTTAAAAAAGCAGTATTTATATTTTGGAGGTTAAGAACTATGAAATATGTATCTACCATTTCCTTTTCTTCATCACACTTTTCAAAACCAAATTTTTAGTAATTTAGAACAATTACATGTTTTTATAGCCTACATATTTGTGTTTTATTCCTTCCTGATATTATATTTGAGGTTTTTTTTTAAAGATTTATTTATTTATGCATACAAGAACTGGGGTACAAACCAGAAGTGCGAGGGGTAAGAGGATTCACCAGAGACAGAGTGGGGAACAGAACAGGCGTACTGACTGAAATACACTGCTGAAGGGAGCAGCTGGTGAGACAGGAGAGGTCTCCTGCGCCATGTGGGTTGCTCCCTGGCTGCTCAGGGATTGAACTCGTGCTGCAGAGGCAGTGGATAGCTTCACAGTGCTATACTTAACCCCTGTGCAATGAGGGAGGCCCTTATACTTTCTGTAGTTCTAATTTTTGAAATTTATAAAATAGTGAACTATTTCATTATTCGTGCTTACATATTTCTGTAGAGTTAGGTCAAGACTAGATCCTATGATGCTTCCTGAGAGACCAGCAGGATATGGAAAATAAAGAAGAAAAGTTCTTTAGAAGTCACCCAAGATTTCATATAACTGACACTAAGAAGATGGCATCACTATGAGATGGTGAGTCAGTGAACAAGGGGCATCTGGGAGAAATATCCAGAATAAGGGGCTCCAGAGAGGAGCAGCTATGGGGGGATTTCCACAGTTGATGTGAAGAAGGAGGAAGGAGAACTAAGGAATAAAAAGAGAAAGAATTGAAAACGGAGGAGAAAGAGAAGAAAGTAATGTTCCTGAAAAATGGGAAGAAGCAGGTTGTAAAGAGTGTAAACATTGCATGTTTTATAAATCACAAAACAAATTTCAGGAGAATGCTGATTATAAGCCATTATTAGGCAACAATTCTTTGAAAGATTAATTTTATCTTTCATTATTTTTTTTTACCCATTCCAGAAATATTTATACAGCAACCAGTATAATACAACGTTACTTACACTTTGCACATGATAGGCACTAAATCAATCCAATGGATGAAGCTAAGTAGCTGCTGTACTGTGTGGAGTAGTTTTTCCTATAAGGCTTTCCTGTAAATTGGAGGCTGACTCTGAGTGCACAGCATGTGGGTGGTGTCAGCTGGAGCATGTGAGCAGGGAGCATGCAGCCAATCTAGCCCCTCTTCTGGCTGATTAAATAGAAGGAACTAATTCTGTGGTATCCACATCCACATTAGGAACCCTGCCCTTTCCAGGCATATTGTTCAATTTGTTTAGAGAGCATTTCTTTGACTTTAGTCTGGTTGAAACTGCTCCTGCTGCCAGTTACTTGCAGCCTCCTCTTGGAGGCCAGTGGGTGGGGTGTGGGACTAATGGATGCAGCTGCTCCATAGACAGTCCTTGATGGAGCACCTGACTTCTGCCTCCTTCTCACTAGTTTGGAGTTGCTCTAGAACTATGCTGGAAAGGATGGCTTCTACTTGTGCTGCAGCTTTCTCCTCTGCATGTGCCTGACAGCAGTTTGTCCTTCCACCCCCAACTTTTCCATCTGCCTAATTCCACCTGCTTTCTATTTTTAAGAATTTTTCAAATTATGATTCTTTTAATTTTACATCTTGAACTGGAAGTTGATGCTCAACTTAAAAATAAATTGACAAAACACTGGCTCCCCCAGTATATTATTTTTTTTTCTAGTGGACATTTGAAAGATCTTCATTTTTCAAACTGAGTTTATTATTAAAAAAATTAATTCTGATAATAAAAAATTCACTATTGGTAATGGTCAAACAGAGCCTCCAATCAACAAGAACTAAATGGGGACATCAAACTGTAGTGACACAATTCCAGGCAAAGACAAGAAACTTGATATTTTCATTTTCTAACACAGCTACTGTGTAGGAAAAGAGTTTTAATGTCAACAGAGGCTTCAGATGCTCTATTGATCGAACAACTGTTATGTCTTATGCACTCTGCTTGACTCTGGGCACATCTGTGAACAAGATAGATGCCCACCCTCAAAACATTTATAGATGAGTGGAACAGAAAGACACAAAGTACACCCATGTATAAACAATATTGTGATAAGTCTTTTAAAGGAAAAGTACATTACTATGAGGAAGAATAATAGGGGGACCTAATTTAGTTTGGAGGATCAGGAAAAATTAGGGAAATGATGTTTAAGCTGAAGCCTAAGATAGTAGGTAGGAGAATTACATAAGGATTATTGGAAGTGATGGAACAGGAGATCAGATGCCCAATGTGGCAAAGAAGGGAGGAGAGTGGTCCAAGGGGAGGCTGGTGAGCAGAGACCAAACAAAAATCCTACAAGGTGTTGGATTATATCCTAAGAACTGCCAAAAGGTGCCCTTGACATTGACTTGATCTGGTTTATACAGGTGACAGATGATGATGTCCTGGATTGATAACAGCAATGGGCATTGGAAGGGGAAGAATTTGAGAACAAATTTTGTTGAGTTGAAGGGACTTAGTTGTGGTTGTGGTGTGTTTTGGAAGGGGAAATGAAATGATTGATTTATAGGTTTCTTATTTGGGCACTGGTAAGATCAGAAGTTCCATTTATTGAAATTAAAAATATAGAATAGTGCCTGACACATAATCATCACCAAATAAATGTTGATTGTTATTAGTGGTAGCAGTACTAGTAGAAGGAACCGCTACAGAAAGAAATATTTTCCCAGGTGTTGTTTTAGACAGGTGATGAATACTGCTTTTTATATTATATTCTATAAACAAATATTTACAAATTTTCATAATAAGTTAAAAGCAAGTCACAGGATACAAAGATTTCATGGAGGTTTGAATCTGAAAACTCCCAAAATTTATGTAACTTCAGCTATAACCTAATTCAGATTCATATATTCAAATACTTACTCAAATTATGTGTAAAGCTGAACTCTTGCTATTCTTCTTGTGCACAAAATTTTGCTCTTCAGTCTTTCTACATCTCAAAAATAAAAACTCTACTTTTACTATTGCACAAACAAAAAAGAAGTAATCCTTGACTCCTCTATCCTTCACACCAAATGCCCGTCAGCCAATACTTTCACTTCTACCTTCAAAATATTTCTGGAGTCAAATCAATCCTCACAATCCTCCACTACTAGTTACCTTAGCCAAGTCTCCTTCATCACTCAATAGGACTATTGCAACAAATTCCTAACTTGTCTTTCCAATTCCATCCTTGTGCTATAAAGCCTGTTCTCAACATGACAGCCAGAGTGAATATCTTAAGACATAACTCACCTCTTATCACATCATTCTTCAAAAATCTCCTAAAAGCCAAATCTTTACAATGACCTATATATCCATATGTGACCAAACTCTTAAGTCTTCCCTTTCAGGTCGCTACTGAAACTTTACTATTTAGTAACATCTTCCCTGAAGACTGTGTCTAAAATTTCAACTCAAGATTTCAAAGATTTATGTTTTTTACTTAAACAATGACTCAGCTGTTTCACTCCTAGTCCTAAGCATTTAGCTATGACCAAAACCAAAACAAAACAGAACAAAACAAAACAAAACCATAGGTCCACGAGAAGTTGTGTGCAAGAATTTTTTAGCAGCTTTTTTCTCCCCATAATAAGCAAAAACTTGTAGCAGCCAACATGACATTTGAGGAGCAAAATGGAGAGACCATGATATATTGAATATCATGGAATGAACTAGGGTTATATTCAAACAACAAAGGTGACTCCAAAAATATTCTTCTGGGTGAAATAAGTCTTCCACAAAAGAGTATATGTGTCTAATTATATGATACAGAATTCTAGACAGGCATATTAAATTTACAGGGAGGAAAACCAGAAGAGTATTTACCTAAGAGGTGAGTTCAGGGATTGACTGGTGAAGAGCTTGAGGTTAATATTTAGATACATGCATTTGTCAAAACCCAAAGACAGTGAGAGGAAAAAAGAATATAGATACACTATGTATGAGTTTTGGGAGAAAAGTTGAGCTTGATGTCTAGTTTTTACTTGAGAGGGTAATATGATGAGGGCATGTGGATATATGGATCAAGATCACAGAAGAGAGATGTTGGCTTGTGAGGATTATTGGGTATTGTCATCAAACAGATATTACTCAATGCCAGGGGTATGGAAGATACCACAGAGAGAGAAGAAAAAAAGGAAGGTCTAACCTAAATCCTCAGGAATCTCAACATTCAGAAGTTTAGTAAAGAAGCTGGTCTGAGAATGTGAAAAGAGCCGAAGAAGGAGAAGGTGAGTTGATGTCAAGGATTCCAGAAAGGAGTATTTCAAGAAGGGAGAAATAAATGGTAACCCCCTTAAATATGCCCAAAAGATGAAGTTCAAGGATCCACGTTACCTTTTTCCTATAGATCTTCCACCAGCGAGAGGTGAGACTACAGTCCAACGGCAGGTAGTGGAGCAGGGCTGGCGGGCATCACGACTGATGAGACAGCAAGCAAAGAAAATGTGTTTCGAAGACTTTGCTCATCTAGCGCTCCTCCGCCTCCCCAAACACCTATACAGGGTACTCTCAACAACTTTAACATATTACTTGAAAACGTATTGTGAAAGCAACACCACTAGAGAATTTCTCAAAGAGAACAATTTCTCCTGCTATTGTTCTCCAACTATGATACTCTGGACCAAGTTGAAGACAACACGAGTAATTCATGGAAATAGTTTTGGGGAAAAGAAAGTGCATTTTTAACTTATGTTTTCTGATATGGTTGCAAACCAAATACAGGTTTCCCTGCTATTGGGAAGGGGAGTTTCTAGGAAAGCTTCCCTAAGCTGAAACGGGGCACATGGAAGAAGCAATTACCATTCATTCATTTGGGAATAAATAACCTATCCAAATCATGCCAAACAACACCTAAAAACTAAAACGCCACTCAGGGGCGGGAAGAGCGGGCAGGCTATGATGCAGCCTGCAGAGACTGGTTCCCGGAAAGGACCGGGCGCTACCTCTGCTGCTGGGTGCCTATGGCTGGGGCGGCTGCCGCAAAGCCCACTCGCCGCAAAGCCCACCCGCCGCGGTGCCTGCTTTGCGACAGGTCGTAAAAGTAGACACGCTTTCCGGATTTCTTTCCGTTAGTGCACACAGGTGCGGAGGGAGCGTGGTATAGCGGTGAAGCGGCGCGGCCCTGGGACTACCTGGATGCCTTCTGTCCGGTCCTTCTTCCTCTGGCTACTTGACCATGCTCTGGAAGGTAAGATGATGAGGTCCGGTGACAGGTTTTACCTGTAATTTTCCAGAACAGCAGGTTACATTTCTACGGTTCTCTGTGCAAGTGTGAGAGAAAGCTGGGTCATACGAAGTTGTCACTTGTTGGGCAAAAAAGCGGCCTAACACGGGCTGTTTCTTTTGGTTCAGCCTAATACCTGAGTAAGGTGAGTAAGAGTTTATTCCAGAGATGATAAATGGAAGCGATCAGGATTTGTCTGCCCTCCGCCATTAGCATCAATGATCGACTCCTGTGGTCTCGTGCGCAGGCCTGATGGCGGCTCTGGAGTGTCACCGGTGTGGGCATGTGTAGGTGAGCACACCTGAGCGAGAGACGGAGCATTTAAGGAGGGCGGCACCGAGGACGGGAGGTGGCAGGATGTAGGGTAAATAAAAAAGTATCAGACTTTTCTGCCCTCCCGCCATTAGGACTGATGATGGATCCCTGGGGTCCTGAATGCATGCCTGATGGCGGGCCCCTGGAGTGGGGTGTGGGCATGCGTAGGTGGGTACACCTGGGCTGAGAGACTGAGCTTATAAGGGCGGTGTCACCGGGTCGCCAGCAGAACCACGAGAAGCAGAGAGTCAGAGCGAACCAGAGTGGAAGAGAAGCAGAGACCACTGGAGAGCCCACAGAGTGAAGACTTGCTGGGGGCTGGGAGGCCTGCCAGCTGAGTACCTGGTAAATCCTAATAAAGCCTGCTAAAGCCACTGAGGACTCCAGGACTCTCTTCTTTACCCTGTCTGCTTGGGTCCTAGAGAACCTGCACTGGCCCGTTCCTGCCACTACACAGGACCTTGCGCTGGAGAGCATCAGAGAAACGCTAAGAGAGGAAAGAGCGTATAGGGATTCTCAGGGCTCCTACATTGCTGTCTTGTTGCTGCCTTGCTTCCCCTGTGCACTGTTAACAAACCTGTGGAGATGATGCCAAGGGCCCCAAGCCCCCTTTCAAGCTGCCTGAACTGACTATGAACGTACCTGGCCTGGGAGGGTTGCGGAACACGTCCTCTTTGTTGCCGTGAGTTATGGCAGCTAAATCTAATGTTACTTTGTAATGCTGGACACCACATTTTGAATTTTTATCTTCTGTGGCTGCTTTGGTGCATGGTTTCAGATAGCTCGAAGGAAGGTATTTCATCTGGAATATAGTGAAAAGTTTTACAGTTTTACTCATCTCCTCTAGTTCTTTTCTTATGCCTAGGAGCTAAAAGGACAGGATTTCATAGACGCTGACTGTATGCTGCAGAGCTATTTATTTTCCAGTGTGTTCTTAAGGAGTGAAAGCAGCTACTCAGGAAGATTCCCTGGGCTGTCTTGAAGGCTAATAGGGAGGCTTTTATTACTTTTTCAGGCCAGATCTTCAGGTATTTTATAAGGAATCTCGTAAGAGACCAAACTTCCGGGGCTTCATGGTGGTCTCCTAGACAGTCTTTCATTCTTGGCCAGAATCTGCTCTCACGTAGTTGAATTTATGTTTAAACTTAACTGACAACAGCGGGGAGCAGAACAGGCAAATGGACAGAAGACACTGCTGAGGGGAGCAGCAAGTGAGGCAGGAAAGGTCTGCTGTGTCATGTGGGTTTCTCCCTGGCCAGCTGGGAATCGAACCCCTGCCACCAGGGAGGTCCCAGTTAGTAATTTTTAAACATTGTGAGTAGATTCAGTGCTCATTAGACTACATACTGATTTCATGTATGTATACATGTGAAAAAAAGAATTTGCTATAGCTGCAAATAAATATGTGGTATCCTAATTCATAGTTATTCTTGTGTGCACATGTTTTATATTTAAAAACTATTATTGAGAAATAAATTGAAATTGAAGTGAGCTATGTCCTAATAGAGACAAAGCATTTGCAATACCATAGATTTAGAATCCAGGATATATGAACTCTAAAAGGACGTACACAGTTGCATTTCCTTAAGATTGTACAAGTAGTATCTTTTGGAGAATTAGGAAAAGAGAGAAAAGAATTAAGGAAGTCAAATCCTATCTTGTAGTTCTGTAACCAACAAATAAACAGCATTAATGATGGGGTGTTTTATTTCCACATATGTAGAGAATGTAACTGCTCAGACTGTCCTTATTTGTTTATTTTTCTTTGTTGCAAATGAAAGATAATATACAGATATTTTTCATCTTATGTAAAGGGTTGAAGATGAGTCTTTCACTACACTCAAGAAAGAAGAAATTATTTTTAAATTGTTAAAGATCTGTATTGTGGGTAGTGGTATCTGTTATGAAAGGAAAAGAGGAATGTAAAAGTGCTACTGCAGACACCAGTTAGCCTGTGTGTGACTTAGGGTGGTGGCAGGGAAGTGAGGGAGAGTTACAGAGATGGGAGAGGGGAGAACCTGATTTCTGGAAAGTGCCACATGAGTGACCTGACAAAGGGCTGTAGTGGTGTCAATGAACTTAGTGGGACATGCCCATTGATTGCTCAGCCTCCCTGCATCTCCTAGAGCCTACAGCAAGAGCTGGAGCCTTTTCTCTTCCTGCGGGACCAGAGAATTTTTTGAATTCTGTTCGTATTCAGTGTGTCACTCATTGGCTTCCCAGGAGACAAAATCTTGTCCACTTCATGGGACTTGGCTTGGTGCCTGCTTGAGTGTCCCTGTGGATTTCCTCCCCCATGGCTGGGCCGTCTTTCTTTGCTTAGTTCTCCTAAAAGTAAATCCTGAGGTGGAGAGTGGAGTGTGTGTCATTTATTTGGGGGATTATTCCAAGGAACCCTGGTAAGAGGTGGAAAGGTGAAGTAGGGGACAGATGACAGCCAATAAAGAGACTGTAATCAAGCATCTGGAAGTGGAACTCGTTGAGGAAATGAAGGAAACTGTGAATCAGCATCCTCCACCTTGAGGTGAAAGGAACTGTGGCATTTAAGCCCCAGCTCCCTTTAGGTATTGGTGAACACTGCTCCTGGGGGATGTGCATTCTCTCACATTACTGACCTGCCATGTGTGTGGACAGAGAGGCTCTTCCCATCAGAGAGAGGCACTGGGCAGTTGGGAGTCAGCTTTGAGCAGGAGAGTGGTAATGTTTGAGGATCTGTGGCTGACACACTGACAATATCTGCCACTGTTGCCTCGTGTACCACTCAGTCCACTCACATCCCACCATAAGTTCATTCCTTCCTGTCAGTGATTCCAGGTGGCAGACAGTTCTTGAGGGAGACAATAACATGCCATTCCTTTCAGGATGCAATGTGACTTTGATTCACAGTCTTCAGTAAGGAGAGGGCAGATTTAGAAAACTGTAGTTGCCTTTCCTACCCCTATGGCTCTCATTCCATAAGTTAGAGAACTGAAGTGAAGGCTTTGCCAGCTGCTAAATGTATCTACCAAAACAATGCAATAAAGGACTGGGAAGTTGATCACAAGAGGGTTCCTGGCCATAAGATGGATTGGTCCAGACCTCCATTTGTTACTTTGACTCTATAACTCCTCCCCCCCTTTTTTTTTTTAAAGATTTATTTATTTTTATACAAGAACTGGGGTACAGGTCAGAGGCATGGGAGGGTGAGAGGATTCACCAGAGACAGCAGGGAGCAGAACAGGCAGACAGACCGAAAGCACTGCTGAGGGGAACAGCGGGCAAGACAGGAGAGGTCTGCCACACCATGTTGGTATCTCCCTGGTTGGCCGGTAATGGAACCCGTGCTGCAGAGGCTGTGGATAGCTTCACAGCGCTGTGCTGAACCCGCTATGCCACTGGGGAGGCCCTCTATAACTCCTCTTCTAACAGTGAGGCTATGGCGATGTTTTGAGTCTCCAGGACCCCTAATAGTGTTAGCTCAGACCTTGTGGTCAACTTACCTGAAATAGTTTGGGCATTATCTTTATTCTAATAAATAAGTCATAGGACCCAATATAGAAGGATTCACTGCTGTTTATATTTGCTATGGTGTCACAGTATCCTATCTTAAAAAGTCATAGACTCTTCTTCAGTCAGTGGGGATGAGAATTGGCTCAGATCTGGAAACCATCTCATTCTAAGGAATACTGTGATCTGTTAGTCATTGCCATAGATCTTTGTGGGTCAGAATTCTCAGATGCCATTTTAGTGTTTAGTTGTTATGGTTATGACATCTACCTTGCCTCTGGTGGTTAAGTGTTGCTCCTCTGTCTCTGCAGTTCCAGAGTCCAGTCATCCCCATTGATTCCAGGGAGCCCAGTTGTATAGCATTATCACTACCATTAATCTTGTCTTGCAAAGAAGAGCCAAGACTATAATTTTCAAAAATGCCATGTACCCCACTGTAGCATACTGCTATTTCTTTAGTGAAGGACATGTTCTGTAGCCTTTTGTGAAGGGAACCTTCACAAAGTAGCTGGTGGGCTCTCTGATGTTATACCTATAGACAAATTCTAGCATGTCCACCTTTGGACTTGGCTTCCTTCCTCAAGACTGTGCCAAGAAGTTATAGCATACCATCTCTTTTACTATAGAAAATTATTCCCTACTGCTCCAGCATCAAGTAATTATTACAGCAAGCTTTAAGAACCAGTTATAGGTGTCTTTTCCATATGTTCATACTGAGTCACAACAGAGTACCTTTAAATTAAAAAAAATTCTTTTACCCAATATTATATTCTACCTCTTTTGGTTCAGTACTATCAAGATTCATATTTAGGCATGTTCTCCTAGTTTCTGCCAGGAAATAGGTAGCCAGGTCCTGCAGTTCTTTTTATAGATAATTCTTTTCCTTCA